ACGTCTTCGTTGCGGGGTGGGCTGGTCCCCTTTTTTCAGACCCACCAACCGCACCATCCTTGTCCTCTCCCAATCGCGGGTGTGGTCGGTGTTTGTTGCTGGCCGGCACCTGGTGGCGTCTGGGGAGATTTTGCGCGCTCGGTGCGCGCAAGCCCTCGAGGTCTCTTGCGACATTCCGGTGCTAGGCTCCTTGATTTGTGTTCGACTTTCCGGTGTGCTTCCTGCGGCTTGGTCCTCACACGCACGGCGTTGACCATAGTGGCGCCTTTCTGGCTGGACAGTGCTTCATTGCGGTGTGCGCTCCTTCGGGCAGGTGCTTCCACTTGTTCAAATTCGTCTTGGAGGGGGGGGTGCCCATCGTGTACGCCTGCAAACATGACAGGGAGAACTGCCCCTGGGTGGGCATGCCCGACGGCCAAGGGTGGCCGGTGTTCATCTCTGGGAAACCCGCCCCAAGGTTCGCCGACCTGCATTGGGAGCCACGGGCGGCACTTCAAGACTTTGAAGAAGTCAAGAAGAGGTTGGTCGTGAAGTTGTCCAGGTGGAGGCGCCAACTCGACATGTGTGGGGACCCCACCACCGCAGAGGACATCAAACAGCCTAAGCTCCGCTGGATGGCCGGGGCCGTGCGATGGTGGGAGGGCTTCATTGCCTCTCACGAGCGCACAATCCCTCTGGACGGGAGTGGTAGACCCACGTTTGCCATCAACGAGGGGGCCGCCTTGTGGCTGGACAGCTTGTCCCCCGTCTCACTGGCCACCCCCTCCACTGCGCCCGGGACGACGCCCACCACTGCCTCCAACGTCCCTGCTCCACCCACCGTAAGGTACGAACGCACTCGTGTGCAGCATTCCGTCCGCCCGCCCAGTTATGGTTCTCACACACACACACATTGCTGCCATGGTGCTCTACCAGCGATTTCATCGTTCTCTCATTGGCCCGGTGCCCGGGGAGCGCCCACTGCTGTTTGGGCACCTCTCCACGCTTCCCAACGACAGAGAGTACATCCCCTTCGATGCCGCACGGGACATAGAGGTTGGCCACCAGGTGGCCATCACCATGTCCGGCGCCGACGCCAAGGAATGGGGCCGGCGCTTCGACGTCGCAATTGTCAAGGGGGCCAGGGCCAAAGAGGGGTGTGGGCCCGCGGTGAAGAGAGTATTCACCGTTGCGTATTAGGAAAGCGAATTCAAGCCCAGCCCCCCCTACAACTTGGGGACCCTCCATTTCGACGCCTCAGACGATGCCCAACTGAATGGGCGCTGGGTGGAAGGGCAGCAAATACGGGGGGAGGTATCCTCCGACAACATCATTTGTGATGTTTGGTTAGATGCCAATAGAGCTGGGAAAAAACGGCGTGTCCAGGCGGAGCTGTAGCGTTGGGATGAAATGTGTTAGATGGGGGAGGGGCCATTTCTAGACCTAGGAACTTGTAATTCCCATTGTGTGTGTATCAACAATTGTAATAGTTTGCAAGGCCATGCTGCACCCACAACTTGTGGGTCGCATAGGCTGGTAGTGAGGTGGTTGTAAGCGTCCTTGGCCAGGGCCAATTCAATTTCTTTTGTGCGCAACATCAGGGTTTCCCGTCGGTGGTGTGACCCAAAAAATGCCATGTTTGTGCGTAAGTTCATTGTTGTGATGTGTTTCTTGCATTGTGCATGTGCGCAAAATGCATGTTCTGTTGTTTTCCGCGACCCCCTTACCGACATTTTGCACGAGAGCTAGTAGCTCGAGCACGAGAGCTAGTAGTGGCAGCAAGTCTTGTTGTTGGTATGCAAGGTCAGTTCAATCTGCGCACATTATTATCTATTGCATGTCACACTCAGCATGCTGATTCCGTCCAGCTCCCATGGTTCACACGTCCCTGTGCACAATGCGCCAACTCTCAGACTTATTGTCCGACCCCCGGCGCTGCCCCTCGCCATCCATGACCCCCCTCAGCGCCTGCTGACTCGGCCCCACCACCGTCCAATCGCGTGCGCGCCAAGCCTTCCCTGCCTGCGACCACCTGACTCCATCCTCGCCTGCTTCCCCATGCCTCCGCAATGGGCGCTAGCGCCTCAACCGCGCCCACCATCGCTGAGCAGTCCTTCAAATCCGGCACCTCACCTGGCCCTCCGTCATGCCATGGACTCCAACATCCCTCGGGGCCATCGCAGGTTCAACTGGACATGCAAAAACCATGCACGGAGTGACGAATCGCGGCCGTGTGGGCAGCACCGCCACGTCCATTTGACTTCGCCATGGTCATCGCCCTAGCGCCTTGGCAGCCCTGCTAACGCAGCCACGTTCAAGCGCGTCGCTTCAAGTCGCCACCATCGTGCGTGCGCCTCTGAGGCGCCCCACAACTCGGAGTCCAAGCTTGCCGTACGACATCAAAGGCAGCTATGACACATGACACACTGCGGCGGCTGTGGGCGCGCACCCCAGGGTACGCCAAATGGCACCCGTGCATTCGTCCATATTAGGCTCATATGGGTGGCGTGTACTCCGCACAAGGGTGTGACATGAAGGGTGGGGGCGGGCATAGTTATGAATGACATCCCCCCAGGCTGTAGTTTGAGGGACCTAGCATTAAGTTCAGGCCAAGCCTGGCCTATGGCGGGCATGGGCGACCTACGGCGCGTTGTTATGCGCCTTGTTGTTGCTCTTTCTGTCGCCTCACACTACAACATCTGGTATATTTTCCTGGTCTGTCGTCAAGTTCTTTTCTCTTAGACCTATTGTCGACAGGGCACGTGCTCAGCACACCACCTCTGTCATTTAAACGTCAAGGACGATCAAGTTGATGATCATGGATAGCATGGGCACCAGCGGACGGGGACGGCCAGCTGTCCCATGATCCGGTAGGTGTCCAGTTTCATCAATTTACATCATGGAATTGCATTTGCTCCTGCCACATCAGGGACACATCTTCGACCACGGCTGCCCTGTTGACTGCATGCCTATTACCCTTCAAGGAGAACAACAATTGACTGAAATCTCACAACTTAATGCCCATCATTCTTCACCAGAGTGGGTTGCACTCTGGAGGGGATCTTATCTCGAACTTGTGACATTTTGATGCTATCAGCATCAACTTATTCTCCTTCATGTAAGGGGGCAGCTCTTAGTAACTTTGAATGAGAGATGAACGTCCCTATTAGCTGCCTTGCTGTAGTATTCCATACACCTCTGTTGCTATCAGAAACCAACCGCTTTCCGGTAGAATTGGACAGCCTCCATCTAGTGCCATTCTGATACGTCACCAATCTGTTATGACCTTCTCCGTATCATCACCTTTTTCCTCATAGCATGCAGCCCATCTCAGTGGTGCTGATCCATTTTACTTTTGAATCTTAATTCACTGCCCTTACTCCAATTCTTTTTCTTCTTCCTTTTGGTCTCTTTTTATGTTACCAGCGTTAGTCATACAGCTGTGAACGCACAGCTACTCTAGTCATGGCATACCAGTCCGTTACTGTTTTTGTTCGTGGTCATACAGCCATGCCCCCTGTGTCACGATGGACACTTACAGTTTGGGGTTTACTGTTTCCGATGTGTCTACTACTTTAGGCGATGTAATTTTCTAACAGATTTTCATTTAAGATCATCAACTATATTAGGACCTGACACCTTGTCAGGTAGAAGTACACGACACGTCCAGAATGGCATCGTTGCCTCGAACACCATCACTCTGCCCCACCATCAGTCCGTTCCTTACAGAATGTTCCTAATACATTCCTCTCACACTCAAGTACCCTTGAACCCACATCATCATCAAATGTCAAGCTCATAGATAGCCAATCTATGGACATATGCTGTGATGGCAGCCTTAACCCTCTGTTGGGCATCATGTCCACATGTTCTAGAAAAGGCTCATTCCAGCCATCTTCTTTTAAAAGCACACAATTCAGTGATCAAACAACCCTGCAGCTATGTGGCCCAAATTCTTCGGAGTAGCTTTTTGTCTGGGTCTGCACCATGCTTTACACCGACCGGAAGTAGAGACTGTACCACCGACACTCATGTCTTATTCAACTGCTCCAAATCTCAACACATGTGATTTCGAAAAGCTAGCTGTGGCAGCGAATTCCATTACCATGTGTACACTGAAGCTGTACCTAAATTTTATGGTACGCATTCCCCTTTTTTCTTTTCTTCTTTTAACATCTCTTTGGCCATTAACACTACTCCGTTTTCACTACCTTCTGGTCATGTTTTGCAATTCTTTTCCTCAAATTGGACTGGCTATTAGCATTGTACCAATCAGCTTTTCCATGTCCGTCATAAAAATACATTATATAATAAAGTTTGCCAACATATTTAACACCGTGTAACCTGCAGAATTCTTGACTGAATTTCTTGCATCTATAGGGCAAGTGCGCCCAGCCCCGTGAACACTGGGTATTCACTTCAGCCCTAGTGAGGGTGGCCGAGTGCCCATCCAAGTCCACCATATGGGGTTAACGTCCATTGGCCATATGGCCCCCCATTTTCGCTTCGTCACGCAGTGCGACAACAGTCATATGACGCTGGTTGGCAGGTGGATGCCCCATACGGATCGCGAACCCATATTCGAAATATGTCCCCCGTCACCCGGGATCTTAGTCAAAATCAGGCCGCCGGCGGGGTCCCTCATAACTCATGACCGCCGCTCACGCGACAGGTTATGTCATAAAGTACTGCGCACGGCCCCGAAGTACTGGTCGACAGCAGTGGGTCAGGTCAAGCACACGTAAGCGGGCCGGGCCCGCGTGAATGCAACGCCCTGGCCAGGCTCGCCCGCCACAGATATACGACACCTGGCGCCGGCCCGGTCACGTGGCACCCCCGTGTCCTGAGGCCCGACATGGCCCCCCCCCGAGCTGGGATGACGATCCGAAACCCGCTCACCGTCATCCCCATTCACCACCCACTGTCTCATAAAGCCCTCCCTCACCTGATCCGCAAGCGCCGTGCTCTGACACCCGCCAGCCCACCCCCGCTCCCGCCTCCTCCCCCCGGTCAACCCACGCATGGATCCGACCGACCTGCGCTGCCTGACCAGCGCGTACGCGCCGGTCCTTCAAATCCCCGAAGGCTGGGGCGGCTCCCTGGCCTCCCCAATCGCCGCCGGCTATGTGGGGGGCCCCTCGAAAGGCGATGCCCATGCCGGCGAGTCGCCCGTGGCCTTGGTGCTCACGGACTCGGGCTCCGTGGCCCTCCGGCTGCCGGGGTTGTGCGCCCCGGGGCCCGGCTGGGAGGGGGGGGACTTCTGCCCCGAGGTGCCCACCCTGGCGCGCAACGTCTGCATGGTGGAAGGGGAGGCGGTGGTGGCGCTGGAGGGCCCGCTGGCGATCGCCATGCAGGGCGCGATGGGCTCCGACGGCCCGTCCGACTCGCCCAGCAGCCAGGGGCAGGGCAATCTGATGAGCGCACTGGGGTGAGGTTGCCGGGCACAACAGGGCTCACGCTGTCGGGAGGGATGGGGAGGGTGGGCGGGCAGGATTGGGGGGTGCGTGCGCGGAGTCGTCAGTTTGGCATCTCGACGCGCGGGGGTAGGCGTGGCGGTGGGGATTCGGGGGGCCTGGGCAGGGGAGTAGGCGGCGCTTGGAGCCTCGCGGATCGCGCAAGGTACCCGGTCAGGGCCCAGGGCGGACGGCCACCTGCCCGTCCCCTCGGGCCCCCGTCGCTTGCGACATTCGCCCCTCCCCTTCTCCTCCCCGCCGAAGGTGCGGCGCGGCGCCGGGCACATAGCCAGCGGCGGCCGCCGCCGCTCGATCGTCGCCTCTCGCCCCGTCCTGCAACCGCGCACCTGGGATGGGAATAGCCACATGAAAGCTGCGACATTGTCTATGACTGTTCCTATTGTCCGCCACGCCGGGTGGGTCGCGGAGGCGCCGCACGCCGCCGCGGCGCTCGCACGCCCGCAAGGCCGCAATTTATCCCTCTCCTCGATCGCGAGGCCCCCCTTTGTGTCCGGGCCTGCGCCATCCATCGCCTTCTGTCCGCCATCCTGCATCTTCGCGCTCTGACGTCACCGCCATCCATCCTCCCCAACGCCCCTAGTCACTCTCCTACGAGGCGACGCTGCCCGGAACCCTTCGCGCCGGTCCGCACAGGAGCGGGCGCCCCAGACGCCCCCCTCCCCCCTGCCTGGCACCCCCTGTTTCGATCCCCAGCGGGCTCTGACGGGGGCGTTTGCGCGCCCGTTTTCGCAGTGGGGCAGGTTTTCACGGCGGCGGCGCCGGTGTGGGCGGGGACGCCTTCCACTCGGGCTCCGGCGGGGACGAGGAAGTTGCCCCCGGGCCGCCAGTGATGAGCTCCAACGAGAAGCGCAAGCTGCGCAACCGCAAGGCGCAACGCAAGTTCCGTGAGCGCCAGAGGGAGCGGATCGCGATGCTGGAGGACGAGGTCAGGGACCTCCACACGAAGGTGGGATGAGCGGCGGCGCCCTTGCGCCACGAAGGGTCCGCCTCGCGCGGGCAGCGCTTCCCGCAAGTGCGCGCCCCGTTGTCCATTCAGCTCGCCATGCCGTGATGTTTCCCCCACGGTTGGGCTGGCGGACACCAGAGGTGGTCTCGTGTGTGGGTGGCCTGTGAGGGTCCCCCTCGGATCGCGCAACGTGGTTTCGTGCCGATCTGTTGGGGGGTGTGGGTGCGACGGGTGTTCGCTGCAGGCGCAGCGGGGGTTATCAGTCAACTGAGTGGCGCATGGTTAGGAGCCTGGCGCGCGTTCCCAACTACATTCCTGCCTGCTGACGGGTAGCGAATGATGGCCGCTCGTCGGCCGCATGTGAGACGGTAGTAGCCGGGCCCGGGCCCGGTGTACCGCAAAGCGAACACGGAAAGGGTAAGGGTGAGGGGGCGGGGGCCGCACAGTACGCATATCCATGGCAGATTCGATGCGCGCCCAGCGTGGCATACAATTACTGGCTGCACCAAATCGGTGACTTCCTGCACTAAATCGGTGACGTGGCATACAATTACTGGCTGCACCAAATCGGTGACTTCCTGCACTAAATCGGTGACTGCTTGCACCAACTCCCTCCAAAACGTACCTAACCTAAAATTTAAACCCTAAACCCTAAAACTGTGCCTGCCCTAAACCTAACACTAACCCTACAACTCAACCTAAAACTAATCCAACCCTAAAACAGAGGTTAGGACATAATGTGCACGTGATTTGGTGCAAGCAGTCACCGATTTGGTGCAGGCAGTAATATTATTTCGCCCAGCGTCGAAATTCGGGCTGGCGACGTCGCTGTGGGCGACGCACCGCTGCTGTGGTGTCTGTGTTGAAGCTGCAGGCATTATCCTTGGTTGTTAGCTGTTGGCGTCAATGTTGAAGCTGCGGGCATTGTGTCTTGGTTGTGAGCTCTTGGCTGTTAGTTTCTTAGTTGTTGGTTCCTAGCTGTTGGTTTTGGATTCGGGGTTATTGTCTTGCCACTGTGACATCAACTGGATGCACTCATGGAAACAGCGGCAGCACAACTGTCTATGTGACTGTGACGGCCTGCCATCCTGCGCATTGGCACGAGGCGACGAAACGCCAGGAAATGTGCCGCTTGAGCGATTACTCCGCTGGAGTAGCTGAAGGCGTCGCGACTGCAGTGCTACTGTGGCAGGACCGCTGCACGGAAAAGTGCTGGCCCTCGAATTGGCCTGCATTCTCCAACAACCAAGAGCGCATTGAAAGGCGTGATTGCGCTATGTCGGCCGGCGTTTCCGAAGGGCCTGTCGAGATGGCCTTGCCCATAGTGACGCCAGCCACGCATTGGCATCGGAATTGCCTGCTTGCATGCAGGGACCAGACGCGGTGAGTTTGGTGATGGACTTTATATTGACAAGAAGTGAAAATCTCATGTGTTGGCCGCGTAAACCGTGTGAAAATCGACAAAATGACTCATTCTTGAGTGCGTCTTAGGCGCAGTATTGCACCGGTGTACGTCACCTTCGGTCCAACTTTCTTCCAGTGCCGCAACGTGCTATGCAGGCGACGACAGCACTTAGCACTCCGCACAATGCAGAACGTACTGCGTGCATCATGCAGTGCATCACACACTTTGTCTTTTGCGCCTGGCAGTGCCACGAGCTCGAGATGGAGAACGCAAAACTCGAGAAAGAGAATGAGGTTGTCCGGGCGGTGCTGGACGAGGAGGAAGTGGATGCACCAGGTAGAGGCCTGGCTACGCCAGCTCAAGTTAACGCCGGCCGCTGGCACAACATCGACCGCTTCACACACTTGTGGTGCATGTTAAGATGGCGTTCAACTGCTGCAAATTGATTACAAACAATGGAAGCCATGCGTGACACACACAAAAACGGGTCATGGAAGCCATATTCTTGGCGCCGTTTTTCACCAGAGGAACTTGCTTTCGAACTCGACCAACATTCCAGGCAAAATGACAGAGAAGGATCCCACGATATATATCTCCTCCAACCCCGTATGAACCACCCCGGCGCGCCCATGCTCCACATGACTAAAATGAGGCGCTGGTCGTGCTTGGATGCTGAAGTCGACAGCTTTGAAGTGCATTGGAACATTGCTCAATCTACCACATATGACGTCCATCTGTGCTGTTGGCTGTATGAAGACAAACTGCCAATGGCTTTCTTTGCTCTATTTGTGCGTGATCACTTCCCTTCAAAGCACTTTCCCATGGCACGGCAGAAACTCCTCATGTACTACAGAAAGTTTGCCTAGCCAAAAAAGAGAAACATGTTGGCTATTGCAGAGCCTTCCCTCTATATTGTGGGACACTCAGCACTGATAATCCTGTGCGTTAGTGATGCGAGCAGGGGTCTATGTGCTGAGAACTGGCTGGGGTTGTGTTGCAAGCCTCTCAGGTCCCCGAGGGGCCTCGCTGCGGGCACCCCACGCGCCCGAGCAACCCCTGTGTCGATGCCTGACCACGTTGTGTGGTGCTACCAGAATGAAGTGATGTTGAATGACCAGGGTCAATACCAAAATGACGGCCAACATTTTTGAGCACTACAGGCCAGTGGCCTTTGTGCCAATCGGGCTCAAATGAAAAAATTGCGCCTTTCCGGCGTGCTTCCATAGTTAGGTGGCCATGAAGATGATGGAAGGTGGATGCCGCACTGTCAGGAAGCACGCTTGTCGCTGCTGTTTCAGCAGTGATCAGGGAAAGGGGGGTGGGGGAGTGTGGCTTGTTTGCGCCCTTTTGCGAGTCGTTAGTTGCCAGGGCGTTAATGATGCATGATTTTGGAGCTAAAGACTTGTACCCTATTTGCCATTGTTATTTTTCGGACAGTTTTTAGCGTGCACTAGCGCACTGGTGATTTATATACTGACGAACATTTTGACTCCCCGTGCCTCAACGGGCTTCTCCTTTTCGCTTTTGGCACCACCGTTGGAAACCTTGCTGGCTATCCCCCGCCTTTGCACACGGCTGTGGTTTGTAGCCGCAGGGTGCCATGGGGCTCGTTGAGGCATGCAGAGGCACGAGATGATTTGATGTCCATCAGTTTGCCGCAAGCCACCAGCCATTTCCTTGGCTCAGTGGTTTGTAGATGAGGGTTATTGCTGCTTGTTCCAGGAAGCCTCTAGCAGCTTCTGTAATTGTCCAGATGATAGGTTTGCTGCCATTTTGGCATAGTCTGAGCGTATTTTGCCTTGCTGGCAGATCTGCAATCTTGTGTAAAGACGCACGCAGGATTAAAAAAGAACCTTCTGACTGTTCTTCCGGAGGCATGCAGTGGGATGTACGTGCATCGCAGAGGGTATGTCTTCATACGGTGCTTTTCTATCCGAACAATGCTGCATCGCTCCAGAGAGTCCAGGTGATACAATATTGTTGGAAAAACAAAAAGGGCAATCACACTGCTGCTGAGCATCACACGTTCGTGATCGCCGATTGCAACGAAACAAAGGGCGGAAAAGAATCTGGCAGCGTGCGTGTGGAGGCCCGAGTCAGTCTATCGACGTTAGCTAGTCGCCATTTACCCTGGCTGCTCCCCCACAGGACCTCTAAAAAGGGTCATCTTGCAGACATGTCAATCAACCAGTGGATGCAAGGGCACTGATTCGCCATACTCCATCAAAACGATTACTCAATACGAATTCAATCCAACACTGCGGTACGTGTCGCCCTTGTGGACTGCCCTGGTGTTCATGGGTGCCGAAGATCACTGGCGTCAGCAGCAGGATCCAATCAGGATAACAGCACTGTGCGCCCTCGTTACATGTCTGAATGTACACAACGTCCACAAAATCGCAGTCGCACGCTGCCCACCCCACACCGGTGGCTCCTCGCTGCTGTCAAGTTCGGCGCCAGGTAACCTGATGCCAAAGGATCTTCTTGGTGAGCCCCAAAACTGGGGACATGTTGATCCGTGGCACTCTGTGATACATGCTCTCAATGCAGCCTCAGGATAACTTCGTCATGGGGGGATGTTCAGGCGGAGCCAGATGGGTCGAACTTGTTGGCCCAATCCACATTGAAGCCGTTCACGTTGAAGGGGTCAGCGACGTGGTCCGCCCAGTTTTCCAAGGGACCCTGGGACCACGCCAGACGGTGTGAGCACCATGCACATGCATCCGCATGGATTTACACGGATTCAGTTCAGACATGGCGCAGCCAACTCAGCAGGAAACCGCCAGCCGATTCTCTGGACTGCAACACCTCAAAACTGCGCTGCACCTGTGCGCCTGCCATGGGGTCAAATAGCACCTGTGTTGGAGCCATTCTGCGGTTAAGACATGTGTGTTTGCATTCCAGCCCACAAGCGACAGAGCTGAATGCGCTGAATCAGGACTCGCTGGGCGACTCATCATGGCAAGAAAAATGGAGATGCACTGCCCTTCTTTTTCTGCTACATGGCTGTAGCTATGCGCCAAGGGCTAAGGGTGGTAGTGGTATTTGTCTTGCCACACATACACAGCCTGTGACTGACACCGGTGCATTCGGCCAGGAACTTCTCGTCGCCATGCCAAGCTCCGAGCTGCGGCAGGTGCTGCACTGACTGTGCAATTCTCGGTGCTCATTGCTGACTCGCAGCTGGGGATAGATCAAACCACAGCGCGACTAGTTCCGCTGCTCGACACAACATTGTACGTTGCAACGTGCTGAATTTGGGCGTCTCAGGCCCTGAAACCCTGCATCGCAAAGAAGAGCTGCAAAAGCTGCTCTGTTGCCACAGACTGCGCAGAATGTGCAACACAGTCGGTGTGTGAACACTGCATGACAATACTTGATCCATAAACATGCAGTGATTCCCCACATTTTGATAATTACAATGACTGAAAGCATACGCATCGGGTGTGGCTTGACTTCCATGTCTATTTCTTCACACATACAGGCAAATATGTGTCACCGTTGGCACCAGTCTGGGGACATCCTGTTCATAAGCACAATTGGTGTACTGCCCCCACCTTGCCAGTGACGATGGCCTGCACGAAAAAGCCAGTCATAGCGAACATGGCAAGTCTGCCATTCTTGATCTCCTTCACCTTGAGCTCAGCGAAGTTCTCCTGCAGCACACACGCATACAGGGCCCGTCACTCGCACCATTTGATTCTGTCAATAGGCAAGTGCCCGTTACTGCCATGAACTCACCAGGGTGGTGCTCCAACCTATTCAGATATTACAACAAGAGCAAGTAGAAAGGTGGCCATGGCCACACACACAGGTTCCATATTTCCGATCTCCAGATTTGCGTTTTGAATTACACGCATCCATTAAACAGTTCCCAAGAAATGTGTTCGATTTCAGGTGCTCATCTATCTGTCTGTCGTCACCACTGTACACAGGCTGCTGTTTCATGCGTCGAAGATTCACTGCGCCTGACAATAATGACAAAACGCACACTACACAGCACAAAATAACAGTAGCATGACACAAATCTGCCTGCTGGCAACAGGGTGCCAATTTTGGCTGCAGCAGTTCTCCGTGCAAGAAACATTAACTGCTGACTCACGGTAACACGATATCATAGTCGCACATAGCCAACAGGCCGTACCAAGCCCCAGGGTGCGAGCACCATGGGCAGTCCATCAATGGGGCCTAATCCACAGTGGCCAATGGCAGGGGTTAAACATCCTTTCCTCTGCATTGCAATGCCTCATGCTATGAAAGAGCCCGCTTAGTGACAGAGGACCATGCGAATATATCAGCTGCCAATCAGCCAAACACATCTGCCAGGTAACAGAGCGCCACTCTGGCACCATCCAAGGTGGTACCTTTGCAATGACTGCCAACCGGCAAATCAGAAGTGCTTCGAACCTGCCTTGACTGTCCAAGGCCAGTGCACTGGCACACGTTGTCAGATGCAGTAAATAAACGATATCAACTTTTGGCTGTTGCTTGGACATCACCTGGTAGGTGAACAGCAGTGCATTGCCACATCCAGAAATTGTGCTCACTAGGACTTGCACACACTGCCAGTGCGGCATCAGCTATCCTCTTCAATACACCCCAATACTACAGAGTATGACACTATAGTACATACTGCCAGTGCGGCATCAGCATCAGCTACCATCTTCGACATGCCCCAATAGTACGACACTATGGCCAATGGCAATCGCACATCACAGACCAGCCTGTGCCGATCCTGGTGTGCATGCTACGCGCCCATCACACAAGCCCATCTCAATCATTCAACTCCAAACGTCCATGCAGGGGTCGCCACCACAGACCAGCAGAGGTGAAGGTCAGTGCATAACATGTTCAGGTAAGGCCAGTACTGTGCTGAGTGTATGGGTCTGCGTGTGACTCACCGGGTCATCGGAGAGACCCAGGGGATCGAAGTATGGGCCGCCTGGGTAGTTTCTGTCCAGGTCCTCACCGGCCGGGCCTCCATTCACGCGGTATGCCTCTGCCAGGCCCATGAGGAAGACCTGCAGTTCGATAGGCCACAAATGACTTGAACTGATTCGAAGGGAGACGTGATTCTGACGCTTTTGAGCGTTAGCTTTGACATGAGCAGCTTGGGTCAGTATATCTGGTGCGCACTCGGTGAACTTCATCACAATGGAGGTGATTGGTTATCAACTTACAACAAAATGACAACCATTGTTCAAGAACATGGGGAAGCCTCAAACATCAACGCCAGAGCAAATTGCGCCACACAGCAAAACAGCACTGCCATTTGCAGAACTCAGCAACAAACAACAAACAGTGCAAACCCACAAATGCTGAGGAGAGCAACAATAACATGGGCACACATGCGCTACATGCATATGTGCACAGTTGTTTCCGTCTTCCATGCCGCATCATGCCACGTCGCGACATAACAACAGGCATTTGTCTGCATTTCCCATGCCATTTGGCATGGAGAATTTGTGCAGTTTGCATTGGTAGTCTTCCACCAGCTCCCCAGCCACAGGCGGAACAAATAATTGTTCTTGCTCAGAAACCCGCAGCCCTATGTAGGACAGTGATCGGATGTATAAGTTGAAGTGGTGATGGTGGCATCGGGGACACTGGACTTAAGGTAGTTTCAATGCATTCCCAAACCAAATCAGTCCAAGTTATGGATCAGTGACCTCAAAAATGAGTGTATGGCAATGAGATGCCAATGTTTCACCACCGGCGTCGGCACACTGTGTCTGGCCCACTGAAAAGTTGTTGCAAGCCAAGTTGGCATGCTTGTGTTTGGCCCAGCGTGTGCATAGCGTCATTCAGAACTGTGATATGGTTACGCTACCTGGTGCTGTGTTACCAGAATCATGGAAGGGATATGAAAGCACAAAGAAGCAATGAACAGTGCGCGACTGTGTTTCTATTCTGTCGGCACAAACACCCGTCATGAGGCCATGCTGAATCAAAATTGCACAGAAGCTGCTTGCACACCACTGGAGAAAATCCGCCACAAGCTGCACACTCTCCAGAGGTTGTTCTCAAAAGAACAACAGGACCACATCACCTCTCAACTTTGCTTGCCACCTCCAGGCAATAACCAACCAGGGCACCAAGGATCAAATCTCAGCGCCACACTGAGCCCACCTACCGAAATTCCGCATCGGCACATGTTTCACTCAAAACACACTGGTATATATAGCGGTCACCGTGCAGTGGACCAATCCCAGCAGTTTGAATATCGTGGTCCATTCTTTTACATTATTTGAAACATGAAACATCAACAACATCTTCAATGATAGTATGACAAGCAAGAACACAGAAGATTTTAGGGGAACAGTTTAACCAATCCTGTATCCTGTCATTTTTTCCATGAATTGTGTGAAGCCTTCACGAGCAATTATTCTGGCATGATGTTCAACTGACCTGGCTCCACAGAATGTACTGGATATACTGCGCATGGATGAGGTTTGGGCTGCCGAGGTAGTCAAGCCCACCTGACGCAAATATCTGAGAGCCGGCCTTGAACCAGACAGGCTCACCGAGAGGGACTCCCCCATACTTTGCCAAGATCTGTTCCAGACACAAGGACAATTAGCATTTATCAAAGAGACACATCATTGTCCTGTCACCCGCTGGGCGACACAAGGTGAAGCACTATCAGGAGAAGCACTAGGAACCGATCACAGAGAGGCTTACGCATGCGATGGGAACTGCAATGTCTTCATGTTGGTAATGCACTGAATGAGTTGTGGGACCAGGTCCAGTTCCATTTCGAGCACAATAATGACGGTAATGCTTTGAATTTTTTGTGGGACCATGTCCAGCTTCATTTCGAGCACAATAATGACAGTGTTCTTCAATAGGAAGGTGACATCATGGACTGTACTTCCCTCTCAAGCTTGTGGATTCCCCTGTTCTCACAACTGCCATACCACCCCTTCTCACGTAAGCCTACATCTTACAATCGCAAGAATTTCATCAGTTTGCTATTGATGTTCCGATGTCCAGCATTTCGTCATTTTGCCACTGATACCTCTGAACAATCGCCTCACCTCAGGCAGCAAGCAGCCCACAACACCAATCATGGCCCACCGGGCATGCTGGATTTCACATTCCCTGTATCGCGCAAATGTCTCAGGATCTGCAGACAACCGCATAGTGTCCTGCAGGAACAAAGAGCCTCCTCTTAGGGTTGACTTCGATCCCAACAGAGCACTACCCTTGCGTGCGGAAGCTTATGCGGGACATATACAAGGTTCTTTCCAGAATACTTTTTCTCAATCCGTAAAAATGAGGGTCTTCCCAACACAATCAGCAAAGTGTAGGCTTCAACACTTCGCGGGCCTTTGGTTGGAACTGTAGATGCATGCCAGCACATGACCCTTTGCGCTCGCCTGGCCGATGGTGAGCATTCTTCACTTTTGTGCAAAACAAACAATTTCCAAGTCAGCTTTCACTCCCAGCTGTGACTCAGCAATAATGAGTGCTGTCAGGTGATGACCTGTTCCTGTATGTGGATATGAATCACTAGTATGGCTGCAAATTTGCCCCAAAACTGTGGCCAGTTTTCAATCGGCTCAGCAACACCTCACATTAGATGCTTCAAAGGACCAGGTGAACAATTTGAGGCAGCTCAACACCACTTCCGTCAACTGGAGAAGAGTCGGAGTGACGAATGACATATGGGCAAAAGTGGAACCATGCAGTGTAATCTCCACATGTTGATCGAAACTGTGTGCCACCAGCCAAGGCCGCAGTGTCCCAACATATCCAGGGCATAGGTCTCGAATCCAGCCCAAATGTTTGATGTGCATTTGCGAATGTGATGCAGTAGCCAGAAGGACATGCACATGTCACACCACCCGGGAGACATGTGCTCAACCCTGACCTGAATTGGACAACGCCAAAGAAATACACAGCTGGTATTGCCAGGAGGAAGCACGCATTGGCACAAATGTATGCAGCAATGTGAATAGGATATTGACAATCAGTATTCTGGACACTGATGGTCAGTTGAACTGAATCAGTTCGTTGTTCTATTTTATTCTTGTGCTACAAGTTCATTAGTTTGACTCTTCATTTGCCACTTTTCAGCAGTCACATTTAGTTGACTGCCACAATCGTTCGCTGACGTGCAAACGGCGAAGTCGGCGATCGCGTGGCAGACCATGTTCACCATTGCGGCAGAGAACGGCCAGGAAGACTGGCACACATCATATGGGCAAGCGGACCACCCAACCAACTTAGTACTCTCCCGTTGTTCTCGCTGGTACCCAGCCCACTTAGCAGCCCGTTCTTTTGGGGTACAGGGCACAACAACCTCCAAAATGACGAGTGGAGTCGGCAAAACGACTGGGAAAGCAATTAGTCGCCAACCTACCCATCCATAGTCACCCGGGAATTCTCCGTTGAGGTAGGGCGGCGGAGGCGGGGACAGGGGCCCTGCGCGACAGACGAACGCGCTCTAAATCAGTCCATTCTCGCGCGACTGCCTTGGGGCGTGTAATGGTTCAATTGACGCGGTCAAGCGCGCACAACGGCGGCCGGGAGCACAACGGCCAGGCAGGCCTCCAGGAGATGTCAACTCACCCAGCCACAGGTTCCTGTTGGGCCCGTACCAGCTGTTGGTCCTCTCCCCCGTGTCCTTCTTCCACCATCCGGCGCGCTGCCTGCCCACACGCAATTCCGCCAATCCATGAACGGAACCCACGACTTCAGACAAGCGACCGAGTCTTGGGCTCCGAAACGCCCGGCACTCGCGGACTGCAGTGTTCCCATTCGTCCCTTTCTCTGATCGAGGAGTTGAGGAACTTGACGTGGCCGTACAGACTGCGATACTCTTCTGACGCATTGACGATTCCATTACGCGACGCGGAACTCAACTTTGCTTTAAAACAAGCGGAATCCGAGGAACGCCAGTCCAGCGCCGCCCGGCCCGCGCCAGCGATTGTCACCGGCGCCTGCAACGAGCGCAGGGAGAAGCCGGCGCCTTCCCCTGACATGCATTCCTTCCTTCATCCCCTCCCCTGCCGCTAAGGCGCGACGCCTGGGCCGGTTCCCGATGCCGCGGCGCACCTCACGGTCTTCCTGGCGGCGTAGGACGACTTGGGCGCCTTCGAGCTCTTGGTCAGCTTCATGACCGTCGTCCCGCCATTCTGCGCGCGGCGCCCCGTCCGCCGCGTCAGCCTGCGCCGCGATCAATCTGCGCCCACCGCGGCAAAGACCGGCGCGGTTGCGCACGCTGGTCCCCGCCATCCGATTCGAGTTCCAACGGCGCGTCCGAACAACAGTTCCGAGCGGGAAAATTTTCGATCGGGGGTCTCTGGGGAACTAACCTGGACCCCCAGGGCGGGCTGCCGATCGGCGGAGCCGGCCACCGGCGTGCCGAGGATGGACTTCTGGAGGGGCGCCGCCATGGCGACCAAGGAGGAGGCGGTGGGGGGGCAGGAGCAGCAATTGGGAGGTGCGAGGTGCGCGTGCAAGTGGTCAGCGTGGGCGTGCCTGCCGAACGCGTGCAGCAAAATCCCGTCGTCAATCCAACAATCTCCCCAGATCCTGCTTGGAGGGGGGGTGCGCGGCGGAACCTTTTGTGGCCGCCGGATTTGCGCCGGCACGGGCGGGGCTCCTGATTGGGCGCCGGCGGGCGCTTATCCCGGGGGCGCGTGCCTGGCTGGACGCGGTGGATACGGTGCGGGGCTCGCCACAGCGTCCTTTCTTTCATGGAAAGTAACAAAGTGGTACTTTAAGGACAGTAGTACTTTAGGAACGTGATGCTTTGATCGCCGTCTGGGTTGCGTTGCAGGTGGGTGGCGATGGGGCTGGAACGAACGGACAGGAGACGGAAAGAGTTTTTGGGGGTGATGCCCGTCAATGCCTGCAAGGTGTGGGGGCGCTGCTCTAAATCTCAAAGGCGGTTTGAACAAAGGACTTTAGTGGGGCCCGAGAATGCATCAGTCCCTCTGTCTCGTCCGTGAGCGTCCCTTCTTCTTCACCTGCCAAGGCCAACGTGGGTCAGTGGTTCAGGGTTTTAGGGCATCCGAACAAGAAGGGATCTTCACCGAAAAGACAGAGCGACTAACTTCGTGCCTGGGCCCCACGACGACAGCACGTGACACGCTCCCGGACAGGATCGCTGCTGGGGCCGGTGCCTGCGGTGAGTAAGAGGGGACAGCAGTCACCACAACTTTGCGATAGCATGACTGCATCGCCAGTGCGCTGGCGCTGGGGCACCGGCGCCAGAGAACGTCCCGGCGTGCCCGAGATGGGTCCCCAAGAGCGTCGAACCAAGCTCCAGCAGCAGTAGTTAACCGCCACCGCCGATTTGAAACGCTCGTTTAATGGACACCGGAAAATTCCAGAACAACGTCCCGGAAGGTTGGTCGCCCGGATCGATTCTCCGCCAAGCAATCCGTCCGCTTGCCGGACTCCCCCCCACCCCAAAGATGTTCCCGGCGCTGACCCCATATATTTTGTGCCCCCTTATCGCAGAAAACTTCGCATGCTTTCGGCAGCCGCCGTCGGGGATTGGGAGCGGTGGGCGCCAAACGCCGCCGACCCACCCCAACAGCGCGTCTCGCGGCCGGGCTGGCCGGCCCCGGCCGTGGATTGCGTCCGTGTTCGGCCGTGGCGAGGGTAACCAGGACGGAGCTGGGCAAGCCCGGCGGCCCGCAGCCCTATTCCAGATGTTTCGCCCGCTGATCCAGGCGTGGTGTGCGCTGTCCCGGGGCTGTTCGCTTCCCAATGCCCTCTGTGCCAATCGATCCTGCGAGAATTTTGAGTTCTAGATGAGGCATGGCGTGGCCGCTATCGCCAGATCGCCGCCGTGCGCTGGCTGCCGCCGCCACTTGATGCGCGTTCCGTCTTGGCAGTGCCATCTTCTTGCGGCTCGTCTCTTCTGCGCCAAGCCGTCCTCGGTGGCTTTGCCCGCTGCCGCGCGGCTGTTGTGCCGAGCCCGTGTGCGAGCTGTTCGAACTCTAGCTGGCCGGTTGCAGGACGAATCGCTCCCAGTGGTGATGTGTTTCTGCAACTAGAGGATTTGTCTCCTCGCTCAGAACGACAAACCCACCTTCCTGCAGTAGTTCCCTTATTCGGGTAGACTTCAAGGGTTTTTTCTGCCTCATGGAATCACGATCAGCCCTGTCCAGGAAGGCTCGCGATTGTGCTTTAGCGAAAGCCGCGAATGAAATCCTGTCTCGCCCATCTATGCCTGCTTCATCGTGATGGCGTCGATCTCGTTGTCTGTGGCTTTCCAAGCTTGTTGTCAGTGTCTGGGGCCTTTGGGGGCGCCATTTGCTCCACTTCGCAGGAAAATGCAAAAACGGTGGCTCGACCATAAATACAGGGGCTATGGGTGAGCACGACTTGCGCCAGGTGCTGCAGGTCCATCAAGGAATGCCTTCCTAACTTTGTTCTGACATCTTCGGTTCGAGTTGGTGGTGTACGACTGGTTAGTGGATTGCCCAACATGCACGAGGACATGGCCCCTTCCACCGCTTGGAAGGGTTTTAGTGCCCAACGACCTCGTTTGCATGCGTGGCACTGCTGCAGCCTCATACATCACTAACCCGAAACTGAAGACATCAGAACAACGTTGGCACGGTGCTTGGATTGGATCTGCAGGGCTGCATGCGAGCGTGGTTTGCATCCTTACCTCCTGTGCACTGGTCTTCTTCCCTTTTTGAATTCCTTGCCTCAACCGCGCATGCGACACTCTGATATGGCAGGCATCTTCGAGGTGGTGCGCGTCTTGAAAGTCAACGCCATGTATTCCCGTCTCTCTCGTAAGAAACGGTGCGAATGTCGCCCAACAGTCGTTGATCCAGCACAAATGGATGGTGGCTTGGATCGTTTAATGAAATGCCAAGGTGCGTGAACGTCCAAAACCAGATGGCAGCAGCACTGATTGCGACTCGAGTGGCCAACGCGTAGATTGGGACATCAGGCACATTGTTGGGTTCAGCCGTTTGGAACCCCACAGAGCTGCGATAAGGCTGCAGGCTGTCGCCAACGATGGACACCCAGCAGTCGTCGAGCCACGGATTCCCACTTGCTTGGTACGTTATACCGCTTGTTCAACACAGATTCCTGCTTTTGCATTTGTCCGAATCCCAGCACGTCCGCAGAGGTGAATGCGCAAAAGGTGGTGACTACAACCACATATTGTGACAGCAGGTAGCCCATCACCAAATATGGATTAGGTAATTCGCGTGTCAACGAACTGTGCTCACAACCAACTGCAAGACTACATTTCCTCTCCTGCACTGGCAAGGATTTGTCACTTTGACCAGTTCGGGTCAGCAGCAGCCTGCTGCGAAAGTACGGACGATTCGCTCATTGCCACGTTTCCAATAAGCCTTCCCAAGGTTCAACAGTCTCCAAGTTGTGGAATTGGTGCAATGCAAGAAGCTGGATAATACAGCGACCTCGCCCCCTGCAAGAGATGGCTATTGAGAGGAGCTTAACCTTCGGACAGCGCCAAAACTGGTTGCAAATCGAAAACGTGTGCTTGGAGCCCTTGTTCTGACAGAGAGCTGAGGCCATGCGGCTTTCACGCCCCGACCCTGCACATTTCAGCTGAGGGGGACAGCAAAGCCACATGCACGTTGCAATGCACAGGTAAGGCAAAGAGCGAAGTTGCTGTGATGCTGCATTGCAACGCACAACAACAAATGAACACTTGTCCACAAAGTTTCCATGGCAACCACAGAACGATAGTGCCATATGTGGGGTGGGTGACAGAGCCTCTCGCCCACTTGTTGATATGGTCGAGGACCAGGATAGCAGGGCCAATCAGTTTCAAGGGCTGCCGTTTCATGACCACCATGTCAGTCGCCTTGCACCATTAAACTACGAAATTAACAAACAAAACAACGACTAAATTACATTCAAATCCCTGCCAGCACACTCCTTGTACATGTGACTTGACAAGCTCTGCACGCTCTCGTGTCCACCTTGTCACCTGGCCGGGCCCTGCTGGTGCATGTTTGACTAAGGGAGCTGCAGAGGTTTAAAATGCCTCGTTTCTGCCCCAGTTGCCTTTGTGCTGCCATTTCCAAGCGGAAGTTGCACCATGCCAAGCCCACGCAATGGGACCCCAAATTGACTGCTCGAAGCTGTGCCCATCACCTCTGAAACATCAAACCCGGATGCCCCCGCTAAGCTGGCGATAGGTCCTCATGCCTCCCTTGCAGATCCCAGGTGCCACACGCGCCTCAGGGGACACTGGGGCAAAGTTGTGTATTCCACATACAATTTCGCTCTGTGTTTCAGCCGTGCCTGCAGCTGGGGCCGTGTTTCGCCAATGTGTTGAGTGACAGCAAGAGGCAAGAGTTTGCACTTTTCACCGCGATCTCCGTGTCGAGGGTTCATAGTGAAGACGGCCTGGGTCGACACAAGGGAAGCCCAGCTGTTTGGGGAGCTGCACGAGCCAACAATGTTTGCGTTGTCGAAAGGGACTGAGTACAAATTTTGCAGCTGCAAAGGCGATGTCGCGGATGAGGCTCCATGCACATTGTCTGCAATGCTGTCAACGTCCTTAAGCTAGGCCTTGGACCACGGACAATCATCTAAAGGGCCAACCATCCGTGCACCAGCGCAACTGTGTTTGTCGGCAGCCCAGAATGTCGCCTTGGCGCATGCATTTGGCAGCTTTCTTTGACGTGGATATCAACATTTCATCACACCTCTGGTTCTCGTTTCAATTGCAGCTCATGCCAGGAACAGCTTGAGCGAATGAGTGGAGCGCGGAGAAACAAAGGGCGAGCTCTTAGACAAAACAGCTGCTCTCAACAACTGCGTCTGGATGTAAAGATTCCCGCCATCATGCTCAAAGAAGGAAGGGAACAGTTTTCTCCCCTTCGCAGGCCAGAGAAGCAACGGATGTAGGCCCATCCGTTTCGCAGCGTCCTCAGTGAAAAGGCACAACTATCGCACCTGCTGGAGGTGGTCCTGGTATTCCCCACAAAACCATTTACACACCGACTTTTGCGACACTACCAGTTTGCCAGAAAAAAATGTGTTCATTTACATTGCCCACTGACATACCCCATTCATGTCTGTGTTTGGCGCCTTGTTCGGGAGACAATGGATACAATGCAGTCACCGAAGAATCCGCACAATAGTCATCGAGCGGAATCCCCCGCGCTCTTTTTGATTGGCATGTATGCACCCCAGCACCACACAAAGTCACAGCAGGGGATCCCTCAGGTACAAAAGCCCGCTCTTCGATTCCCGGTGCAGTTCAAGGACGGCGCCTTCCAGAACACGGTGACAGCATACTGCAGCATACTGCAGTGTTTCACCAGTACAAGTTGCAGAACAACCATCGAGTGCTTTGAACATTAGATGTTGTCAGGACGCCACTGAGGCTGGCGCCTTGGGCCCTGAGGCGGTCGCGTTCGGAACGATGCTGTCGCACGCCTTGAGGTGCCGTCGCTTCGTTGGGCACTGCTGGAAACATGGCGTCGAGAGCGCCTCGTCTTCGGACTCAGGGCCGGGCGTGAGCCCATAGCTGAACCTGGAGAAAATGGCGCACAGAGGTTAGCACTCCGGTGCTGAGTTTAGGAGACTGTCGCGCTTGGGAGCGACGCAGGCAGGATGCCCGCGCTGCAAACAGTCAGCCAGTAAAATGCGATGCAAGGCTCAGCGGCTTCCTGCACTCAGCTGCAACGGTTTTTACAGACGGGGTGTTTGCAGTTTCATCGCCTTGCGGGTTTCAGGATGTGACCTGTTGACGCCGGAACTGGACAAAGGGCTTTTGCGCGGACGGCGGGTTTGGTGCCACTCACTGGCAGCTGAAGTCGTTGTAGTCGGGGGTCATTGTCAGGGGAAGGCCCATGTTCTTGGCAAAGAATTCCTGGCATGACAGCCACAGGAGTGCTCACAAAGTGGCCGATTCGGGCAACATGTGTGCGCAGTTGCCACCCCAGCAACGAAAGGATCAACTGCGCAAGCATGTGCACGTCTCAAGAATGTGAGGGCTGGAGCCACGGATACATGATGAACACAACACATCACTGCAACCAACCACCAAAGGCAATCAACTGCGATGTGTCCACGTACTTAGCAACCATATAGGGGCATGAGGCACAGAACAAGTCTGGTAATATGGAATGGAAATCTACAATGTGAGCATTGGTGTGTATATTACTGCAACGATCATCGTGTCGACCATATTTTGTACGGTATGTATTCCCGTGTTGGTCAATCATGTTTAGGAAAGTCGCGGAGCCCCTTCCAAAAGTTGTGGGGCGCCTCGCGCTAGTTGTGTGATGTTGGGACATTCCTGTTTCTTGCAAAGAAAGAGCTTGAAAAGCGAAGTGGCTGTTCATCGTGCACAGATAGAAATGTGAGACCAATAGATCAATTTTCGGCACACTCAATGTACCACTCTGTGATCAGCATGTATCTGTTCATGTGCAAAGATGCATTGAACCACCTCAGTCGCCAGTGCTATTTTCCTGTCCTCCATAACGTGCTACTACCAACCTGTGTAGGTATTTTGCAGCTGTTTATGCAAATGGCAGCGCACCCCGTCTCCTCAAGGTACCGGCACCGTTCGATCTTGACACCTTGCTTCACTCCTACCTGCGAACCAAGGCACCATCCAGTGCTTTGCATCTGACAAATCGTGCGGCTGGCATCTTTAGTAACTGATTGATTGACTGATTCATCTATTGACCAATCGCCCTTCACATTGGGCACACCTAAAATTTGCACATGGGCAGCCACAAAGGCAATCTGTAGCCCAGTTGCCTTCCAAACGTGATAGGTGTGGGTTTTGCATTGCCTGCTGCATTAACTTGTCAACACAAGTTTCTTAATGAATCATGTCCGCTGCAAATGGGAATGTGCAGAACATGCTCCCCAGTAAACCAATGCTGAAGACACTGAGATTGTCCATTTGGATAAATTGCCACTTTTGTGTGCTCCCTAAATACTGCGCCAGCAATACATTCGCCTGTGAATGTGTTTGGGGCATTTGATGCCTGCTGCAATCATCACCTGCCCTCCGTCGACGTCCACATCGTTCACTTCGCTGGGGCCCATCAGCCATTGGCAGAAAAAAGCCGTAAACCATGCATTCAGCCGGCATGATGCTTTGGGAATGTTTTTTGACAGTATGGCCTGCACGAAGGACAAAATTGCCAGCCTCAATTCTGGGTCCTGCAGTCAGTTTGGTTGAGCACATGGCACCATAGGTACAACGGGACCAAACAGCGCTCTGTATTGAGTGCCCCTGTCATGCCTGGGGTTGAGGCGACAGGGCATGAAAGTATGTTCTGTTCATCACACTCATTATTTCATTGTGTCTTATAGAGCTAGAACTAGAATCGTTGGTCCAATTACAAAATTGAACAGCCCTTGGTGCCCAGCTGCCCAGAGAAGCAGACCATGTACATGCATCACAAGATCAGTGCAAATAACTTCTTGGCTCCAAGGCACAAGATAACATGTCCTGACAGATTTGTCAAGCAGCAAGCGTTGCCCATCTGCCATTTTAACCCTCACTGCTCTGCCAAACAATCAATTGTACAATAAATCTGACTCCAACTCGAAAATACAACCCAATCTCTTGCAACCAGCAGCAGCACAATCACTTGAGACCATGATTAAGAATGTATGCTGCTATATGTGCTGAACCTGGAAATTATCTATGCCAAATGAAATGGCACACGCACCAACTAACGCCACCTGAGAGCTGGTGGGTTACCATTTTCGAAACATCGGAAGAATGCAATCGACAAAGGACTTGCTCCCTACCGCAAATGCTCCAGGCAGCCAGGAAGGAAACAGCCTTCCAAGCAGTTTGACCGTTGCCAGCTGTGTATCACGTGGCTCAGGGTACTTTGCATTGAGTTTTCTGGTCAGGTCAATGATAGCATCGTACCTGCAGCGGAGGTCCACAAAGCAGACATTGGTCCACTCAAGCAAACAAGGGACTTGGCACAAAGTGCATGGCATACAATGGACCAACGCGCTTTCCAAGCAAGAGCTTCTGTGACATTCTTTGCTGTGCTTAACAACAAGGCCTGTTGGGCAGTACGAGTGTCTATCCACTGCAGCAGCCGTAAGGCAATGCTGTGACAGTGCAGAAGAGTGCCATTCGAACAACAAAGCTGGCATCACAACATAGGATACTGACCAAATCTTGCTCAGTGTATGCAAGGGCAGTGCCCTTTGCGATACTATAAGAAAAAGGCAAGCTTGCTGTGCCATCCAACAAGGTGAACCTCCCACCATATGACAAAAGGGCCGAGAAACCGAAATCACACGTGCTTCACACTGGGTGCACACTGGCCAAACAATGTGCTGGGAACAACGCTTGTGGGGATAAGCTTGACGCCACCTCAAGGTTCTGAGGCGGTGGTTTGCCAAGCTTTTTGACAATTGTAAACAAATGATTCAAGTCTGGGTGCTGTCTTCACTCAGTTGACTCGACTGCAAAGCGGTTTGATTTTCAATGGATATTTGGCAAGAAAGCATGCACAGTTCACAACCTTGTTCCTTAGCCCAACAAGTTAGTTAGCTTTGCTCTTGCGATATCTGAGCTCTTTAGTTCTCCACTACCCTTAGACATCCTGGTATCTCCCGGCAGCAAGCCAATTAACCAATTCCCTGCTGGAAACAGGTCCCTGTCTCATGCAGCTGTGTCAATATTTGACGCAAATTTCTCTGTTGACAATAAGGAAAACGAATCATACAACGGCCACCTCTTCATGGGCAAGAATTGTGTGGTGAGATGGTGAGTTGCTTGATAAGATGTTCTTACACAGATGAAAAGATGACGCAAAATCTTGTCAGTCTACAGGAAACATGCAACACATAGGATGCGCGCCTTTGTTGCACATCGACTTCCTTCTTTCCTTTGCTTTCAGGTGGCAGTTGTAGACAGACACAGGTGGCTTTCAGGGGGCCGATGCTGACTGCATTATGAGATGATTTTCTAGGCAGTTGAAGTGTTGAGGGTTGCACCATGCAGGAACAGCGTCACAACGCTATTCAACAATCAAAATCGATGCAAACAGATACGGTAGAGCAACATCAACAACAGCCCAAATTGTATGTGTAAATGCCTGTCACAATCCTCAAGTTTCCAAGAGAACTCGCTGTCCAGCTCTGCAAAGGCAAATTCAGCCATGGGGTTCAATGCTAGGGGCATGTTTTGACTGCATGCCGCGAAGTGTTATGTACATTGTCACATTGTCATTCCTTCTGAAACTTCTACAACTTCTTCGCAGTATGTAACAGAGGCTCAGCGTCTACTTCTCAGGAAGGGGTGAGGGTGGGCATTGGATATCATGTTCCTCCTTGCTATAGTGAATACTCAAGTTCATCACCACCCAGACTGCCACTGAAGGTGCGGCTACATCCCCTGATCACATTTCTCCCAAGTGGCAGAACGCTCAATTTGCACCTGAAAGGCGACGCCGTGCACAAGTCGTCGTGCAGCTTAGGCAAAACGACAATGATCGATCGCCATGAATGACGCCCCGGGTGGCGACCGAATAAATTGAATGGATGAGGGACAGCGGGAACGTTCTTGGATGTACACACGTCCCTCAACGCCCAGACGACGCGAGAACACCGCTTTGTCTTGTCGAAAACAACTCCACACAAAGGATATCAGCACAATCGCCATGAACGCCAACGCCCCAAATCCCCAATTCCCGCAAACGTTGCTCGACCAAACCCCCACCCCTCCAGCTCGGAGTCCTCGCCGAGCGTCTCCACCATCCTCGCCCTGAACAGTCCCATCACTGCGCGGCTGACAATCGTTCCGTCGATCTTCGAATAGTCCGGCGGGGCATCCTGCGGCCCCGCGGCGAGCAGCTCGTCGGCATCCGCGCTCGCGACGTGGGGGGCGCGACTGGCGATGCGATGCGCGGCGCGGCCCGCGCGAGGACGAGGGCCCGACGTGCCCGGAAGGCGTGGCGGCAGCGGGCCCCAGACCGCGGCCGACTGCGCCATCTTCGGTGGGGCCACCCCCCAGCCCGCGGAACTTTTGTTGCTGATTCGGTGAGGGCGTTCCCGATGCGGACCAGCGGGACGGATACGGAGACCCTGTGTACACGCTGCAAACCCTGTACGCACACCTCCCAACCCAGTGCATACCTAACCACGTCCATGACCATGCATGCCCTAACCATGTACACACACTAAAGTTTAGGTCCTAAAACCTGGTAAAAACATGTACACATCCCAAGCCCAAACTCCCAACCACACAATCCTGACCCGTCGCGGTCCTCGTCTCCACCTCTGTATCCGTGTTCTGAGTCGCGCTGGCATCAGTGTGGGTTTGGTGGCGTTGGTGCGCATGCAGAGGAACGAAGCACTGCGAGGCATCATCAACCATTGGTCTTGCTCTGACTGAGAAGCCCCTGGCTGCCGAGGCTAATACACAGCACATGAATCAAGAAAAGAGCAAGCTCTGTAGGAATTTTGTGCGTGCCGGCAGGTGTTTGCTGCTTTTCGGGTCGTCTCAGTGAGATTCTGTCTCGAGCGCTGTTGCGGGGAGATTGCTTGTGGCTCGCACATCCACAAAGTTTGTGCAGGCTGTTCTGCGACAACAATCTGGCGTCCGTGAATCCCTGAGATCTTTGAAGTTTGATGAGGGTCACTGTCGGAAGACAGACAAACGCTCAGGCGGGTGCCATCGATAACCGCTGGAAATGTGCTCCAGAAATTCACGGAGGACAAGTCGTCGAGGTGCAAGGCACATGTCTAAGCATGAGCCTCGAGCCTCAGAAACTTTATCCAAGACCCTCAAGGCACGCCAAATGCAGGGTTTCGATTCACGGGTTTCCGAATCGAGGTGCTCAGAGCTTCTGAGTCAGAGAGCAATATGGTGCAGCATTCGCTGCCCTGGATGGCTGGTGACGCCCGTGCGTATGCATTGAACGCACAACGGAACAGATCATGAATTGCGTGAGAGACAGGTCTGACGGAGCTCAAGAGCTGCTCCCGTGTGCGCGGGGATCCCCATTTGGGATTTGTACCAAACCAGCCCCAAACCAATTGCAGCCAGACACAAAGAATGCACCAAGGCGGCAAGTTGCGCCATCGCCAACGTGCCAGCTACTCTGCCGTTGTCTGCTCAATCCATCGCCCACCCATCCATTCAATCGATCAACCAAGCAGTCAAGTAGGTCTCGTTACTGCTTTTCTTATCGTCACAGCAATGCACGTGCTGCCACAATGAATGTCCTCGCCCAATCGCCGCCCACATGTTCGTTTGGTGCGCAACTGGGCAAGCGAAGTTCAGTGCGTTTTCAAATACCCCGTTTACAGAGGCCTCCTAATACAAGCGGATTGTTCTATGATGTACAACTGAAGTCAAAACGCCAATCCCGTCCGGCACACTCCCTAAACAACATGCTGTCCTCCCACAGTGCGCAGCCCCAGCACAATGAGGAGCCCTGGAGCGGTCTGCACCAGTGGCAGCCGCGTTAGTTATTGACGACCCGCAGACAGCGGACCGGCGTCTGAAGAACCTCATCAGAGAGTCAATGTTGAATCGGCTAGAGTTTGGCAGGTGTGGATCGAAAGCCACGGGCATCCATAGCATGCCATGGCAGGAGACAACCTGCTGCACTCCTCCCTCTTTCTGACGCATCAGTCCAAGATTGACCTTGGGCGAATGCACTCGTGCCCCGCCACGTCGCCGCTGTCATCCCGACATCGCAGACTGCTAACTGCGGGCAAGTCCACACAACTCGGGGGCCGTTTTCGGGCTGTACTCGACTTGCACAATGGCTAATCATGCCCCACGGCATTCAATCCCCCAGCGAACATCACCGCTAACGCCCATCCCACCGATTCTGCAGGCTTATTCGACGCAGGGACACGCCTATGCAGCGGACTGTCGCAAAAAATATATTGCCTTCACCTTCGGCCCGACGACCACCTCATCACCACAAATCCGAACAGGCGGCAACACTCCGCGTCGCCAGTTATTCACAAAGCCTTGAGGGGCCCTTCCCGCTTTCCCAAACTTGGGTACAACAACCCGCGCGCCAGGTTGCCATTGTCGGCGCCAGAGCAGCGCTGCACCAAGAGCGCACCGACGCCTAGGAGTGCGCCGCGCCGCTGCCTGTCACCGAAGGAGAACGCATAAATAAAGTTCAATCACCCCGTCCACCTCAGTGAAATGTCTCCTCTCAGCCGCGAGACCGTGCGCCGTATCGGGCCTCCCTGCAGCGCTTCCAGTATTTCCATCTTGACGCCATCCACCTTGCTGTCAAGCCTCCTTTCCACCTTGAGGAGTTCTTCCCTGCACCCGCCACAACACACTGTTGGAGAACGCCCTTTCCGCAACACAGATCGAGCGAGCGCCCATTGCTCACAACTTCTGCCGCTCGCTTGCGCAGCGTGAATCGAAATCTATGCAGCGGAAACAGCGTTTCATTGGCATCAAATCGTGTACTGTCCATCCCATTGTATACCACCCATGAGCAAGGGTCTCTTGCATTGGGGCTGACGAGGCGCCCGGAATACATGATCCACACTCCAATGCCTATGGGTAGAGGCATCTTGTATCTGGACGGGCGCGGGTTTAGAAGCCGACAGATGACAGCTTTCTGCATGGAATGGCCGCTTATCCCACAGAGACATCTGTTGACTGCGTCATGGACACTTCAGGCACAACAAATTCCCTGATTCATTTGCGACTCCATACTTGACTGTGTTCTCCAGAGCTCGAATCCTCCCATGCCAAATTCCGTGTCGAGATTTTTCCTCCGGTTCCAAAACATACAAATAGCGGCCAATCTTTTTCCTGCAACGCCACAGCCATGGAATTGGGATCTTCTTCAGTGGGGTGGAAAATGTACGACTCCCATTTCGGTTGATGGCAGCAGAACATCGTGATGATCACCAGTTGCACAGCAATGACAAGTATTTATCAACGGCAACATTAATTGCTATCAAAATCTTTCGGAGCCCAAAATCATTTCACCAGTTAGGAATACAATACATGCAACATGAAGAAGCAACACTGCTGTTAATTGACAGCACTGAAGTCAGTAGCAATGTTGCCGTCACTCTTCGCATCGCCACACCCTTGACCACTGTGTCTTCAACCATTTTCGCGGACAGACGCTTCTGCGGACTTCTGGCAGCACGCACTGACACCCTTTCGACCAGATGTATCAGCATTCCAACACCTCGACAACGCATATGCACCAGCACACTTGCCCTCCCCGAGCACTCTGCAAAGAACTTGCTCATAATTGCAAGCGTTGATGAGCCAATGCATGCAGCAGCCGCAATCCCAATGTTCATTTCCCTGCACGTCGTATATAGCCGTGTGCAGGCGGCGGGGATAGGCACTCACTGTACGGCTTCCTTGTGCCGTGACAGCATCCTGTCCTCCAGGTCCTCTATGACCTCGGCCCTGCCGATGAGGAACTGGGCCTCCTCGTTGCGCCGCACGTTGTCGAAACTGTCCGAGATGATGGCGATGAGCAGGTTGAGCAGCATTATGAAGGAGATGAGGAGGTAGAGGGAGAAGATCATGACAGAGAAGTATCGGTTGGAGGCCAGGTTGAAGGTGGCGGGGTCGAACTGGCCCAGCATCATGCCAACCATGGTCACCGACACGCGGTACCAACCGGCGTACGCCCCACAGAAAAGGTCCCTGCATCGATTCGTCCCACCTCTCAGGTCAATGATTGTGTGTGGAAGCCTGTCCTTCTTCCTCCTTTCTGATTCCTTGCCGAATCCGAAACATTACAAAGGAGTGCTTATTCGGCGGTTAAATATGGAACTGGAAATACGAGATTGAGGGATAGGGTTCTGTGTTTCTCACGGTTTCCACAACTAATAAACTGACGATTTCGATCATTCTGACACTGTTTCAGTGCAGTTGGACACGGTGTGAAATGGGGAACACTCTGGTGTTCTGCGCCATATTTCCGCAACACCCCAGCAGGTGATGCTCCAATGAGAAAAGCCCTTTCATAACAAATTTCGGTGCTTTACTCGATCAACCTGTGTCGCATGCTCAGAATCTGAGGCACCATCAGCTCCTCATTGCGATCGATGAAGGCATTGAGGTGCTATAGATGACCTCGATCCAAACAACAATGGGAAGAATCTTTGCCATTCAACAAGCAAAGCAGTTAGCGGCAGGAAGGGAACATCTTGAGGACGCAGATGTGCCGGGTGGTGATTCAGCGTGTTTACACACGGCTCAAAAGCGCATGCGCAATCAATACTTTATGTTGGGAACTGCCAGTCCATTTATAGGATCTGAAAGTAGCACCTGTCCTCGGGGTCCAGGTAGCCGCGGGGCGTCGATTCGCATTCGGACTCCCCTTTGAAATTCGTCTCACCGCCGTCGAATTCGTTGAAGACGCCCTGCAGCAAAGTCGCGGGTGAGAAACAACATTCGCAAACAACATAGGATGCAACGGATTGTGTCTGTTATCAACTCGCAGGCACCATGAGAGTGGATTGTCACAATTCGGTGAACGTCCATGCATTTCCAACAGAAGACCGTCCAATACAAAATGCGCCTTCCTTAGCATGGAACCACAGCAAGGCAGTGTCGTGCGCCGCCCAGGGCTAGTCATGCTCTAGTGGATTCGATCAAATGTATCTTGCCTGTAGCGATGTTATATTGCCAGTGGCATTGAGGGTGAATTGTGTGGCGGTGGACTCGAAGTCTGCGCATTGGCACTTCACATCGTCGAGAAGGAGGATATGCACGGCAGTGGTGAAGCCCAAGAAGTTGGCGGCAAACAGCACCAGGAAATAGCGCACATCCCAGAAAACCTGAAGGATTCACACAAGCAACTAATAGAAAGCCAGGCAGGCAAAAATGCAAGTGAGGCATCGCTTCTTCAAGCTGTGAAGCAGCCAAACAGACTGGGAAAAATGAGGAAAAAGCAGGCAAACAACGCAGAAATGGGACAACCAAGGAAGCCTCAAGTTCTATGCAAAAATGCCCAGAGAAGCACTCGTTGGATAAGCTGCACGACTGTGCCAATCCAGCGAATTCAAATGCTGTGAGCTGCACATGCAACTTGCAAAGGTGAATGTATCCAGATTTCGTTTGAAGAGATTTGCCCCTCTACTGGCGCAGCACCGCATTCCCCAAGCACATTTAGTAATTCCCCATGATCATTGTTTCGCACATCACCGTTTTAGGGACATGGCCTATGCACAACAAAAACAACTGGTGACCACTGACTGAGACAGGATGCAAGTCCATAAGTGGGCTTACAAAAACATCAACATCGGCAATGGATGGAAGGGTAGCGAGCTGAAAAGTTCTGATGAACATTTTCCCTGCAATTCCCTGATGTGGACAACCTGAAAGAGAGCGACAACAAGGGGTGCAGTGGCACGCGTAGCTGCAGCATAGTACAGAAGCTTCCACCAAAGCAGGAGTGAGGTGGCTGCGGCCATGCAGTGGGTGGACTGGTAGTACTCCCACACATCCAGCGTCTCTTTTGATCCAATGGTACGATAGTCGATGGCTTCCGGGATGGAGGTTGCGACCTGCACATATCAGTCGATCGATCAGTCAATTGATCGGTCGAACAATCAGCAAAGCACGCAAATTGCCCGCATTGGCAATGCATCACTAAATGGTCCAGAACTTCTGGCTATGCAAGGTATGAATGTTGAAGCCATTGCATATTTGGTACAGCAATTTCACCTGCAAATATTGGAAGAATTGCACTTGGCATGATCCTGAATAGCCCTTCTGAGCACCTTGCCTTCTCAGAGCCTGAGTCCATGGGCTTCCATGTGTGTCCCCAACCCAAACCACCCACCCACCCTTCCGTTTATACCTCGTTTTCGAGCCTTAGTTATGGCAACAGCAACACTGTTCACTACGCATTTTCCAGAATCACAACATGATAGTTGTGGTTACAACAACAACTAAGACAGTACACACAACTTGGTGCTCAAACACTAGATCGCCTGGACGCTCACCATTCTACTCGCCATAAACTGCTATCGATGTTGTATTCCCAATTCAGTTAGAAGACTTCCCTCAACAACCAACATCTTAGTAACGAAAACGTTCTTGAAGAAAACACCTTGGTAATCGGGGCATGCTATTGAGCCTTGCATCATGTTCAGCACCGATCCGCAATGCATGTCAGCAATAGAACATCAGGGTGGGCATCAGGAGAATCGCTGAGCAGGTGTTGTGCAGGCCAGACCACAGGCACTATATACACCATGACAATGTTGCAACCACCAGTTGGTTCGAACAGACAACATCCCAGGAATAATGCCCCCATCGCCTTACAGGCGCAAGATTGGCGATTCTCAAACATATTATGCTGGGAGGAAACGGCATGTTGGCGATGCCAACTGCGATGCCATTTTGACACAAAATGATGCCGTCATTGTGATTGCGATGGCCTAAATTTGGCTGTGATGGCATCAATCTGTGTCAAATTGTTTCGCAGTTGGCTTCACAAACAGGCTGTTTGCTGCTGGTGTTATCCCACCTTTGCTACATGTACTGCAGCTACGGATGTCATAGCATTCGATTTCTGGCACTGATCCACATCGGCACTGAAACCTTGGGACTGGCAACAAGCAGATCGCTCAGCAGGGCCTGCACAAGTTCGGTCACTGGGAGCCCACCACTGAAATATATGCCACTGTCTCCAGGATGTTCCACTTGGACCTCGCCCAGTGCCTCAGACCACTGAAGTGCCACATGCTGTCGCCAAAGTTCATGCCCTGTGCATCTCTCTTCGTCATCCGCTGCTCCATCTCCAGCCCATCCCTCCAGAGGTATCGTATCTGGCGCCCCTTCTGGCCCAGCTTCCAAATCGCCAACAGGAAAGATATCCATAGCATCACCTCGTACTGCCAGTCAGGAAGCGACTCCACTGCGAAGATCTCAAGGAGGTTCTCCCATTTGACCCAGAACAGGGAGTAGGACAGCAGCAACAGGACATGCAGCCCCAAGTCCACCAGCATCTTGCGCCTCGCAAAGAGATCCCATTTGTATGCGACTATGGCTTTCATAGCCATCGAGGGGAAGGCGTCAGCGTGGGGCTGCCGAAACCGTAGCTGCCGCAGTGCTCCCTCCCTGCCAACCTTTGCATGTGCAGGAAAATCATGATATGTTAGGACATCGCCACTATTGCTAGAATTGCTACTTCTTCAGCAGATGGTACTGATTGAGCACCAACTACAGCAGAAATTCAACTGAGCATAGTGGTGTAGAAAATAACTCAGCAGTGCTTAGATTGGCTCAAGACACTCTCCAACAGCCTGGCAGGTACTTGTGCCGTTGGTGCGAGCCCACTCCCAAACTTTCCTCTCTGCGATTCAATTTTGTCACATTGAAATATACAGCCTTCTCTGTCTTCTCACCTTCGCAGCATTCGACCATGGAAGGATTTTGCAGGAAATGGGCAATGTGCGGTCCGAGCAAGTATAGTTCATTTGGCCATGATGGTGGTCCAGGTGGTTCAGCTCAGCTACATGCTTCTCCCTTTCCTTGAGCAGCTTCGCAACCCTGGAATTGCACTCCGCAAATAGTGCGCTCAGCTGTCTTGAAGAGTAGATCTGTGCATTATGGGCCCCCACAACGAACGAGTTGTCATTTTTAAACACGTCCACAGGGGCTTCCAGCTTCCTGGCAAGCCCTGACGCCTCGACAGGCCTCAAAATCCTGTCACTACACAGCGCCTCCTCAAACAGTGCCGGGAAGACTCTAAGCAGATCTGGAAAGGAGTGCTCAACCACGCTTGCAGCCTCCGAAAATGTGGTGGGCCCGTCAAGCACCACATCCAGCAGCAAACGCACCATCTCCCCGTCCCGAGCCGCCAGAGCGATGTCCAGGGCACTGAGCTCATCCCGATTCCTAGTCTGCGGGTCTTTGGCAGCCATGGCACCGGGCCCACAGGCATGCAGGCAGATCGTCTTGCCCTCCTCACGTGCCCAGTCCACCATCACTGTAACCCATGCTGAGTTTTTCTCCTCCACAGACCTGAAAAAGAGCGACTTGCCTTCGTGGTTGGGGTGATTCAAAATGGCGGCCCCATGCTCCTCCAGTAGCTCCATCATCTTCTCTTCCTTGCCCTCAAAAGGGGAGTACTGCAACTCCAGTTGGCGGTAGTTGGGAAGGCACATGTCGGCTGCAAATGGCGTCCAGATTCGCATGCTCCCGTACTCCGTCACTGCTGCAACCACCCTTCCATTGCCACTCACCGCAAGGATCGAATGGTCCATCTCCTTCACATCTTGCCCATCTTGCGCATACCTCAGCTCCTTGACACCTTTTCTGATGCCAGTGAACTCTTCGATTCGCTCACCGTGTTCCTGACTCGCTCGAATCAGCCCCAGGGTTCTGTTGTTGAACACGCTGACACACGGATGCCCATCCTCAATCCCCACAATCAAGGCCTCCTGACCACACATGTCAACAACAAGGTCCCCTTCCGGCTTCACAAACAGGGGACCCCGACCAACGTTGCCCAGCAGGACACCCCCGTCCAAGAAGAGACCACCGCACGCAGTCATCCCATTGTATGGGAAGCCCTGCCTCGTAAAGTCCAAATAGGTGGTCACTTGGTGGGTCTGAAGGTTCCATATCTCCAGGGGCAGGTTCTTTTTAAGCACCACAGCATGGCTGCCTATGGACGAGATAGAGCAGGTGGCACCAGGGGACCTCTGCCTATTGCTCTTGTACGTGGGATTGGGGTTGCCTGTTGTGTAAAATGTCAATACTCCCATGGAGTCACAGACCACCACTTCCCCCCCCGTTGTGAACCCCACAGCAGCCACAGGAGGGTCACCAGGTTTGGTAGTCCACACATACTGCTGGTCGAGGTGTGCTGCCACCGTACCCTCATCGGCGTCCATTTTCAGGGCCCAATCCTGAACCTTTGGTCTGCCAAGCTCCCACAGCACAATGCGTGCAGGTGTGTCAAGGGCCGCCTTAATTGCTATCACACACCTGCTACCATCGCTGTCCAGGGCAAGGGCATGAAGGCCATTCCAAGCGCCCCTCAGAGGCGGTGCCACTTTGCCCTTGCCCGATGGCTTGCAAAAACACAATTTCCACACCATCACCTCCACCTCTTCATCTGGCTGGTCCGTCTCCATGCCGCTCCCAAATGCGATCGCGAGGGCATTGCCATTGTGCGAAAATGAACACAGCTTCGGTGGACTGCTTTTCCGCTGATCGACAGCAGCTGGCTGCCCCGGGCTGGCAAGACCAGGACTGGACAGTGCAGGGCTTGTCAGTCCAGCACTGGGTGCACTGGCATCGAAGGGGACTCCCTGGAGCAATGGCAGCGAAATGGTGCTGGTCCCATGCATCAGGCACATTGGAAACCACACCTGCAGCCTTGCATGGTCTACGCCCAAGATTATGCGCCTCCCACGCTGGTCAAACATCAGGTCCTGGGCCCATTGCGCCTCATCTCCAGACCGCAGCTGTTGTGTAACATCCAGCACAGTAAACATGCCCCTTGTCTCAAACACCTGCATTCGATTCAGTACGCAGAGTTGGGGCCACATCATGCTGCAGTGGAACAAACAACCTTGGAGAATCAAGGCGCATCGTCCCATCATTTTTGATGTACTTCGTTCTGACATGAAACATTGCAGCATGGTGCACTTGATGTGGGGGCCCTGTATTTTGCTGCAAGCTTATCGCCACTGGTGGCAGAATTCAGACATGCCTGCGCACTGCCACCCATTTGCCGAAGCACCACTTTCTGCTGTTGGATGCAGTGACATTTTAGTTGGCAATTCCATCCTGTGAGCCAAAAAAACGCATACCTGCAAGCGAATGGTGACGGCGTCCCCATCATGGTCCCTAGCAGCAACGGCGATCCAGGCCCCGTCCGGCGAAGCGGCAACACGTGCCGGGGGCGACCTCCTTCCGCCCAGCCTGCCTGGCCCCGTTCCCAAATGGGCCAGATGCACCATTTGGACGGGTTCCTCCATCTTCATGTCCCAGATCACAATGGCGGGCGCTGCATCCGCGTAGGCCGCCAGCCCGCGCTCCCCCAGCCCCTGGCACCAGGCGATCTCGCCCTCGCACGTCATCTCCTTCAGTTCAGGCCTGGAACACTGGCACGAGCGCCCCCCCGCTCTCCCATCGTCCCACATTCTGTGCTTCAAGCCCGAGCAAGAGGCGGCCAGGCCCTCCCCCTCCCCCCCCTCGCACCCACACCTGCACCTGAGCCCACCCACGTTGTAAACCGCCAGGGTCTTCGGGCAGGCCTCCCTGCACCCCCCCTTGCCCCCCCCTCCCCGCCTGCTCCTCCGAATCCACGTCACCAGTTTCAGGCCCCCGGTGTCCTCCGAGCTCTGCCAGCAGCAACGCCGCCCGCGGAAGCACTGCCCGGACACCGCGTCCTCCAGCGCGTGCCATTTTGTCCGATCTCGCCAATCAGCCCACAGCCGCGATGCAAAGACGTCCCCACTGCCGTCTCCGAAATTTAAAAAGAGCGACCTGCCAGAGGGCGAGAAGCTGCACTCCAGCGCGTCAATGCGCTCCATCCCCCGCTCTGCGGCCAGCAGAGTGTGCGAGGGCAGGCTGACCTGGTTTTTCCCCGGCGTGCGCTCGGTGTCGTAAATGTACACAACCACGATGCCAACCGCGACCTTCCTTGCCTTGTGCGCCGATCCTTCACGCGCTGTTGCCCTGTAGCTCACCGGCAGGCAGGCATACCTCCCTCCGGGCACAAACGCAGGCGCCCATGCATGCGACGACTCCATCGTGCAGTTGGGCATCCCAGCAACGTTCGTCAGTTCAGGAGGCGGGATCGCATCCCAGCCCAAGTAACAAGCGCCGAAAGCCGGCCGTTTGCTAAACTGGGTTGAAAATGATGTCGAACCAGAAGGTGTGCGCGTCCTGGCGAGGCAAGACGTCTGGCGCATCGGGTCGTAGCACAGCGACAGGCAGGTCCCGTCGCCGGCGCTCGGCCAGCAGCAGGCGACGATAGGCCCGTCGTGCACGCGCGAAGATTGCAGCCGTGATCCATGGTCGCCGTCCCAGACGCACAGGGAGCCGTCCCCGTAGCCCGCCGCCACGCGGGGGCCCCCGGTGCAATCGAAGGACGTCGCCGACGAGCAGGCGACCGATCGGCCGGAAGGGAGGCGGGCCGAGGGGTCTTCATGGCGGTCGAGGGTGAGCACGGGGACGCCACCGATCACGTCGAAGTCGTCGTGAAAGGAGAGGGGGCAGTCGACGAGGCAGGGGGCACCGGCGCGCTGGTCTGCGAGCAAAGGGAAAGGGGCGGTCAGGTGAGACTTTCTGTTTTTGCTTGGGGGCTTTCTTGGAACGTCCAGTACTAGGCTGGTACTCCAGTACTGGAGAACTGTACTGGAGGATGGCCAATTATGCCGTACACGAAGGTCACGTCACTCGCCGTCGCACCACAGGCGGCCAAATCGCCCCAATCCTCCTTTTGCCTTTGGGGGTGGGGGTGGGGGTGGGGGTGGGGGGGGGGTGCAATGAGATTGGAGAAAGGGGGTCAAATAAGGGCACCTACTAAGCAGCTGTATGTGAGACTCTTGCCACGCTGTGAGAAGATGATGTGAAGTCTCCGGTGCGAAATGATAAGCACGCAACACCAGCGACGCAGAAGGCAAGAAAACATGCACTCAGGGGTCCTGCGGGGGAGCAACGGTGAAACCTGAGCCTTTTCTGGTCGGCGGTTGGGTGAGGGTGCCCCTGCAAGCAGCCCAACACCCCCTGAGCCTCCGGCACCTGCCAGCGACGAGACGGTGGGATGGTTGGCCGTGGTGCTCCTGAGCTCGGGTGACCGTGCCCAAACGGTGAGTTAATCGTGCCTGCACTCACCAGCCACGTTGCCCGGCTGCGTTGAATGCAAACGTTGTGCCCAAATGCTTTGAGAAAGTGCCAAGCACCCGCAACATAAACAGCAGCGTGAGCATGGGCGACTCTTGGCGTGTTTCACCACACCGCGAGCGCCAAAACTTGGTTCGGGAGAAGTGCGCCGTCTCGCAAACCCGAATTCACGCCATGTCACACATCTCACCCATCAATCCACGAAGCCGCAAAAGCGAGCCATTTGTCAGCTTCAGCACTGTTGTGCGCACATCACGTATGCGTAGATTTCGGTGCTTTCTGGTACTTGGGTTTGGGTACGCTAGCCAGTGAAGAAGCTATGCTCCGGCAGCAAGACTACGGCACCAACTGGATGCCACACACGGACAGAAAATGAAAGAATGGAAACAGAGACAAAAGCTCGGGACAAATTCGCATTCAATCGCATCCACTGAATTTGTCGACCAGCGCTCGACGACATTGTGTTATTCAGCGCAAACATAGCCATATACTGCATTGATTCGTCATCAGATGAAAGTGGTTACGTACCCAGGACGTCTGTCGACTCGTCCTCAGAGATTTGTTCGTCTGGCGGGACAATGGTGAGTTTCATAAGCGCTTGTCTTCAGCAGCCAACATCTACATAAATTTGATGAGCAGCACGCAGGGACGTGCAGCGCTGGTGGTCTAGACCCTTTCACGCAGTGTAGCTTCCCACCGCTTTGGCATCATCTGCAACAACCGATACACGCACAGTATGCAGAAATATGACTGCTCAGGAACGAGGAACAAAACAACACTTCATCCACATTATTATCGCTGGCGGGCTTGTATGCCCAACAGCGGCAAGTTTACCAAATGAGCTTTCCTTGGCTCATAAAGCAAAAGCCAGGGAGAATCCACCTGCAATCCCAAGGGAAGACGCTTGCTTGATTTTGGTCCGCATAGCCTTGAATGGGCGCTAAACCAGAGGGAGAACAGTAAGGAATCGCGCAACTTCACAAATCTGAAGGCAGGGACACCCTGGAGGGGCTTTTGTGGTATGCCCAAAGAACCTCGTGCACATGCTGTTTGATGGCCGTAGCTGCGCCCATGTCAGACATTGACATGTCTGGACAGCTTAGTGTTTCGTTGGGTGCAAATATGTGGGACAAGGGGGCGAACTGTTCATTGGCGTCCAAGGAGGGCATAATGTCCGAGGGGCGCAGACGCCGACAACCAGCAATACACACTTCAGAGTGATGAACAAGCCCTTGGATCCTGAGCCTTGCTCGGCTTTCACACTAGGAAAAAAGGGCCAAATAACACGTGTTCAAATGTGTGCCAAGTTTACTGGTTTGTGTTATTTTTGTGTTCTTAGCGTGCAGAGCTTTGATGAAATGTGTTTTACGGGTGCTCGCAAAAGCGTTATTTGGTTATTTTTCTGCTAGTGTCAGAGGTGCGGTGCCTCGCACTTGACGGTCCATCGGCTGCCGACTTGACGCGTCACAAGTGCCAACATACCCACTGTGAACTGCACCGTCAGGAATTTGTCACCGGTTATCATGTGGAGTTGTTCAATGTTGCTGTATTTTATTCAACTCTTCCACGTAGCAACGTAACTCTTGGCCTTTTTTGCAGAGAAATTAATAAGCAGTAACGCAAGCCTGGCCTTTTTTGCACAGCAACGTAAAAAACAATATAGCAACGCTCTGAAAACGAAATGCGGAACAAAAAGCGTAACGGTAAAATGTCTGATGTGGAAGGGTTGAATGTTGTACGGTAGTCAGCATTCCGTAACGAAGTACAATATTACGTGAGAGCGCGGCGACCCAGCAGCCTTCCAAGCCTACCAGCGACCCCCGGGCCCCAGAGAGCAGAGACTGCGAACATTGCGTCACGCCGACGTGCATGGGCGTCAAGCATGCCGCACACAAGCACAGCCATATCACGGCGCGCGTCCGCCGTGGGCCCCCGGGCCCCTGGCGCCCCGTGATGGACTTCCATCAACGACTGGAGGCCTCGCACGAGGCACACCCCCGAAGGCATCAGCGGGGACGCGCTCCGTATGGAAACCGACTGTGGACCCCCCGAGGCGCCCGTGGGGTCCCTGGGCCGCCATTCAGGCCCGGAGCCCAGCGTGCCGATCCCACCCGCACCTGACGCGTCGAGCCGCCTGAGAGGGAGGCAATCGCCGTCGGACTCGACTTCTGACATCAGTGTGGCAAAAAGTCGACCCCTTTGCGAAAAAAAGTAGCGACTGAATTTGTGCACGGGGCGGCGCGCCACCGGGGGAAGGACACAGCCCTGAAACGGCAGAGGCCGGGCTGTCAGGAGCTTTTGGAGAATGCGCAGCATTCGGAGACGGGTCTGTGTCGAAGCTTGGTCATCAGACACGGGGGAGGGAATGACTCCACCGGGAGGCCAGTCGGGAAACTGGGCCTGTGAGATCCTCGGCGTCTGGCGGGACCGCCCGAGTGGTGCCCTGTGCTGTGCTTAGATACACTCAAGCTGGAGCGGCGCCGAGGGGGAGGGAAACTTGGGCTTAAGGCAGGTTCGGCGGGGCCAGGAGGTCGGAGCCGTTGGGTGGGCGCAAGCATTCGGAATGGAACACCGGCGAGCGAACTGCGGACCAGCGAGCAACAAAGAAAAAGTGTCCTCCCGCGGCGGCCCCTGAACGCTCGACAGGGGGCCGGGTTCAGTGCCCGGAGCCTGGTCAACCGTCAGTCCGGGGCCTCCGGACGGTTCACCAGATGCATGGGCGTCCGAGAGGCGAGATCCGATATCGCTCCGGCGGCGTACTACGGAGCTAGAGGACTGGTTCAGCGCTTACCGTTTTCCAAGGCCCGTGCCCCCCACCTTCAGTTTTCCGGCGTGTCTCCTGCTCCTCGGCGCGCTCCAGGAACCTGCCCGCGTCCTCGCCGGGGGTTCGAGGCGTGGGTGGAGGTACATCGCCTGGATTTGGGAAGCCATGCATTACGGAGGCTCGGTTACGTCCACTTGTCACCCCTTGGCACAAGCGCTGATGCATGTCGGTCGCATACGACAGAAAGCAGGGATGCAGCCATGATGAAAACCCCTCATGATGCCAAAATCCTTGCGTCACGATGTACCGCTTTGGGATGGGAAGTCGCTACGTGCCTTCCTCGCCTTTGTTTCAAGGGACGTTGGCCAGGCTGACTTCAACTCCTGGCATCAGCTCAATCTGCCGAACTGACCACAGACAATACGAGTGCGGGTGGGTGCGGGCCAGCCAACAAGAGGCGCGCGC